CCTGGGTAAGCTAAAACTGTGTCGGAGGGATGTAAAGTTCCTGGGGTTCCAGGTCAGCGCTGCGGGTATACAGTGTGACCCGGATAAGACTAACCTGATCAAGGAGTGGCCAGCGCCCACCTCAGCCAAGGAGATCAGGGTGTTCCTCGGCTTGTGTGGCTATCTCAGACGTCACATTCGCGGGTACGCTCTGCTGGCCAAGCCACTCACCAAATTGACTGAGAAGCACAGGGTCTTCAGCTGGGGCGCAGAGCAGCAGACCGCGTTCGAGACGCTCAAGGCGGCCCTCGTTTCGGCACCAGTTCTCGCATTCCCTGTGTTCGACCTCGCAGCTCCGCCATTCCTGCTTGACACTGACGCGAGTGGGTCCGGGATTGGCGCCACTCTGATGCAAGGGGACCATGTCATCGCGTATGCGAGCCGGGCGTTGACGAAGTCCGAGCGCCAGTACAGCGTGACTAAGCGCGAGCTGCTCGCCACGGTTTGGGCAGTTCAGCATTTCCGATCGTTCCTCGTAGGCCGTCGCTTCGTTCTTCGGACTGACCACGCGGCGCTGCAGTGGCTGTTCGAGATGCAGGACGCCGAGGGTCAGATGGCGCGCTGGCAGTTCTTGCTGCGAGAGTTCGACTTCGAGGTCGTTCATCGCAAAGGTACACAACATGGGAACGCTGACGCCCTGTCCAGGTACCCGCACCCCCTCCAGACAGACGAAGTCAGGTACAGGTGGGTCTGTGTCCCTGTCGAGGAGGACCCGACACCTGAGTCGCGGATGGCTTCTGATGGGTCACATGAGGTGGCGGTGGTTTCTGATATCGCATGCCCGACTGCCGAGGAGGGTGACAGACGAGAGACAGGAGTGATCCTGCCAAGTTAAGCGGTGAAGTCCGTTGATACTGAGGTACCACTGGAAGACCGGGTATGTACTGAGCAGCCGCCACCAGAGTCTGTGGACTTGGCCGCTGCGAAGCTCCCCGCTGACGCGGCGTCCGACAGCGTGTCTCACTGTACAGCTGCGGTGGTGACGGGCCCTGCCGAGGTCGGCGTCTTGACACTGACGATGGCAGAGTTTCACAGAGAGCAGCAACGTGATGACGGCATTCGAGAGATCATGACGTGGAAGAAGCGGCGCGTGCGACCCAAACAGAATCACTTGCATTCATCAGGCGCAGCACAGTTGCTGCGCGAGTGGTCCAGACTGGTTGTCCAGGGGGACGACAAGCCTGTGTTGTACCGCCGAGTGCAGCCCGAGCGGGATGCTCCGATGTGTCTGCAGATTGTGATGCCGCAGCACTTGCGGCGGGAGCTGCTGGAGCAGAGCCACGCGGGCTTCGGCGGAGGCCACCAGGGCACAGCCAAGCTGGAGAGCATGGTGCGCCGCCAGTTCTACTGGCCGGGCCTTCAGGCCGATGTCAAGGCCTTCTGCCGACAGTGTGTGGATTGCAGTCTGCGCAAAGACCCTCCGCGTGCGCCACAGGCTTCTCTCGGGTCGCTCCAGGCCGCCGGGTTCATGGACCGTCTGGATATCGATATAGTGAGCGGTCTACCCGTCAGTGACGATGGATATCGGTACATTCTCACTTGCATAGACGCCTTCACGAGGTTCGTTTGGGCTTTCCCCCTGAAGACGCAGGAGGCGACTGAGATTGTCCAGACGCTCATGGACGGGATTGTGGCGGTCTTCGGTGTACCTAAACGGGTTCATAGTGACCAGGGGAAAAACTTCGTCGGTAAGGTGGCTTCGCTGTTCTACAAACGTTTGGGCATACATCAGAGCACCACTACTGCGTACCATCCACAAGGGAACGGGTACTGCGAGCGGAGTCACCGATTTCTGGTGGACACACTCGCCAAGCTCAGCAGAGACCACCAGCGTCAGTGGCCACGGTACGTCAGTGCCGCCGTGCTGGCGTTCAACGCGAACGCTAGCGCATCGACCGGCTTCTCGCCGTACGAGAGCGTCTTCGGCAGACCTCCGCCGCTGCCCACTGACCTCGCGTACAGTCAGGTGCGCAGTGCCGGTCTGACAGACGCTCAGGCACCGCCTGATACGCTGCAGTACCTATCCAAGCTGCAGCAGACACTGACACGCACTGACCAGCTCGTGATGCAGGCCAGCGTGGCATCACACGAGCGCAACAAACTGAGACATGACGCGAGAATCGTGGAACACACGTACGCTGTGGGGGACCGTGTGTGGATGAGGCGCCGCGCAGTGACAGGCGGTGAGGTGCGGAAGCTGGCTTCCCACTGGGAAGGTCCGTATCGTGTCGCGAAGAAACTCCGGAATTGGACTTACTCGATTGTTAAGGAGGGAGGTTCAGCTGCCATGACCGTCCATCACAACCGGCTGAAACCGTGCCGGACGGCACCAGTTCCCCTCAGAGCGGCTCCCAGGCCGCCGGTGACAGGCGGTCTGAATCCGTCCCGGGCACAACCCGCTGCACTCGGGACGACGGTGAAACAGCCAGGGGCGACCCAGTCAAGGCACCCCTCTGCCTGTGTCCAGAGACACCCCTTGAGACCCAACCCGGTTGGGGAATGGGACCAGTCAAGGCGCGGCCAACCCACTAGCCGTGCCCAGGACCGACCCTCTGCGAGCGGCGAGTCCGACTGGGACCGTGAGGGGCCTCCAAGCAGCGACACAGCAGGTACACACACTGACGAGGACACGGGGCGGCCCACCATCCATGCAGACGAAGGCATGGTGGGTTCTGCAGGGGACCAGGAAACGGCTCCCGAGAAACGTACACGTTCCGGCCGAGTAAGCCGTACCCCTACCAAACTGACAGACTTTGTAGTGGGCTGACGGTGTATGATGTTGCCTGCCGGATGGTGCGTCGATAGGGTTAGCGTTATAGTTTAAGTTGCTTGTTTCAATGTCCATGGTTAGGATATCATTGTTGTCGCGTCGCTCTGCCGTGGGTTCGTGGCTTGGGGAAGTGTTGGTTACTTTACATTGCTGCATCTGTGTGATATTTTAGGGCCCAAAATGTCGCTCGGATACACTTGTGTAAATGGCTTGTAAGTGGAAGAACCGTTTGAACCCATCTTGTAGAGTCGCCCCGCACAATATTCTCCGAACCAGATATGTAGGTAACTTTTGTTGTTGTTTCCGGGGCGGAAACTTCAGCGGAAGGGGGTATTGTAGCGAGTTGTATAATTTGGTTGCGGCGACTTATACCTGTTCCCGCCAGGGTGAATGGCGCGGCTGCGGCTGAACTGTCGTAGCGTGGGTTGTTGAAGGACGCGGGGGTCGTGAAGAGGAGGAGATTGGTGATGTGGAACGGCGGTGATGTGTTTGAGTGGATAATATAGAGGCTCGCTACCAGAACCAAAGAACGTGAAATGTATCAAGCTGAATCAGCAGTAAACACGCGTGTCCAGAGATCCAAAGAAGAAAACCCTTTACATATGCGGTGAATTTGTGTGGGTTTAAAGACGGTTTTACATAAAATTAAAGCAACAGCTCGTATTGCAGCACAGGCAGTCTCTTCATTCGCTGCCGATGACTGTTTTCGGGCGAATAGACACCTTTGATAACCAAACCCCATCCAGTGATGCGGTGACTCATCAGCGTCTCAGTCTCCATGGCCCGGGTGCCCTGCAGCTCATTATCGGTGCAGTTTGGGCGACACTACCCGGTAACTGCGGCGGTGGGCGATAAGCGGCCGCTGCTGAGCCGACAGCGGACCGATCACTATACGCCCGTCCGTCTATCGCCGCGGGGCGCCCCGCCGTTAAACGTCGGCGGCGTGAAATCACGTCAGTCGCGCGCCTCGCGCCACCTAATGGAAGTGAAATAGGGGCGACGGCTGCGCGGTGGGACGCTGTTGTCGGCAGATCGAAGCTGCGATCAGTTAAAGTGGAGCTGGCTAGAGCGGTGGACAAAATGGTCTTTGAGGCCTTGGGTAGCACTCGATGTACAAACGGAGGTAAATAGCGGGGAAACATTTTATCGAAACCGCGGAAATTTGAGACATTGGTGAACGAATTTGAATAGTTACAAGAAAATTAGGGAATTTTAATTAAGATATCACAAACAATTGTAAAGGTTCAATAAATTAGTGCTCACATGCTTTCCAAAAATGATTCTTTTCTGTCTAGAAAAACTCGGATGTCACCTGTTTTGAATGATTATGATATACCTACGAGCAGTAGAACGAGCATATACCTAAGCATATGCCTAGCATATGTACCTAAGGCTAGAATTGACGATACACACTTTCATTATAGATTTGAACTCGTAGCATATTCGTCGGCTATCTGTTGAGTATTCGACGTGCAACGATCGTCTAAGAAATTACGATACGATGCGCTGCAGCGGTAACACCCAGCATCAATAGCTTTCTCTTGCTACCGGGAAGCCTTTAAGGTTTAAGTGCTATAATTTTGTCTAGATCGCACAAAATTATATGTTTATAAAACAAATGCTGGCCTTCACTCTACCAGTGCACTTTATTTTGCATTTGGCAATGCGGGAAAACTGGCTGAATGACATTTCCAAACTGCACAGAGCGAGCATTTTGTCAAAGTTTGGGCGTAAACGACCGTATCTCGGCAAACTTCGCTCGCTCTAACATGAATTTACGTTTACTGCCAGTCCGTTGGTAGCTGCATAACTTTTCACCGCATTGGCACTGAGCATACGTGACTAAACTCTGAGATTGGTGCCTTTTGAGATAGCTCAATATGGGCCGTGACCAGAATGAAGATGCTTCTCGAGCTCGCTTCTGAATTTGGTCGCTATTGATGAAAACGTTAATATACTGCTTGACGCAAGGTCCCAATGACCTGACGGAATACCAATCTGTGTTTGGTTGCCCAAGCAGGTGCACTGAGGAATTAGATTCCAAATCCGAGCTTACACGAATTGATTTGATTCAACCTCACTCAGCCCTGCCCGACTTGATCTTCTGACCTGATCTGACCTGACCCGACCTGACCAGACCTAATCCGACCTGACACTCTGACCTGACCTCCCCGACGTTTCCCGTCCACAGAGGGCTCGGTGGCCGATGACGCGGCCGGCCGGGCGCTTTCCTGGGTGCTGGAGAGGCAGGGCGACGACCACGGCTGGGCCACAGAGTCCTCCAAGGCGGTGATCGCAGTCAACCTGGCCAACTCGACGGCGCTGAGCGGTGTCGAGAGGGAGCTCACCAGCAAACAGCTGCAGATCAACTTCCTAGTGGACATGTGGGGGTGAGTCCGGCCTCTGGTCATTGGCTGACGTCCGCACTGGCATGTGGGCGCATACTGCAGCGTGGATCGACCATGCAGTATGCGGTGTGGGAAGTAGAATGTTTTATGAGAAAGTGGGCAGTAGAAGTAGGTCAAAACACGCTTAGATTAGCTAGCATGCATTTTATCTATGTTGTTTTTTGCTTTATTGTATTGTTGCATTGCAGACTGCATTGTAGTTAATAGTTGCTTTGCATGACGCACGATGGATGTGGCGCACTAATTAGTGACTATGGGCAATAGCTTAACATAAGCTCAACAACAACCTATCTTATCTGATTCTATTAAAAAACGTCTGACTGCTCACATGCCTTAGTTTCATGTATATATTCAGTGAGTACTGAGTAAGACATCTGACAAATGATATTTGTAAATTTAGTCTCAGGTGCCGGTGACTTGACGTCATCGGCTCGAGGTTTAGCCGTCTAAATTATTTCCAGCGGGGACAAAATAGCCCGTGCTGTCGCTGGAATCTCGCAGAGATATCCCAGCGGCGCCCACCATGTAGGCTGGTCCCCTGACGCCAAGGTGGGAGCGGAACACATGGGCCCGCGTGTAGCAGGAGCAAGAGGACACTCATGGCAAAGCAGTGGTGGTGAAAAGACACACTGTTTTGCTTGGGTTTCACTTGTATTGCATAAAATCATTTAAAATGCAAATTTACAATGGCACATTGTTATTGCACCATAACCTCAAAGCATTATATGTGTGTCATACTGGCGTAAAAATGCCAAAGTTAAACCTGGCACTGATGTCTAGACTACTTTATTGGTAGATACCCCTCTACTTTTGACTTATCTGTACAGTTCTAGAAAAGTCTAGAGACTTGACTGTTTAAACGGCAATTATTGCTTTATCGCTACCAGCAATGTCGCATTACCAGCTTTCAGAAGGATGAGAAGAACTGGGGCTGTGGCCCTCGACCATCCAACATGACTGAAAATGGCACCACGACCACCCGCAAACCTTACTACATATGCAGGTAAGCAGGTGTTGCTAACATATAATTACACGAAACGAAAGAACTACATAATAGGTCATGTTACATATCATCGATGAATTTGAATTAATGTTGCTAGATCATGCAGCAACTTCCCAACTTTGAGCTGGCATATAGCTGGCAGTTTACAGCACATCATCGGTGCCATGTCTGAGCTGTGAGGGCACCACTTCCTGTCAGTGTCGGACAATTGTGCGGGAAATGGACCCGGAACTCCGGCCCCACGTCCCGGCTACACTGCAGACGGCAGACGAGCCCCCCGGGTCCAGTCCGGCGGCACTTTATTGCCCATTCCCAGACATCAACCTCACCAAGCGCCAAAGATTTCGGGGCCAATTTTCTGGCTGTTGTTAGCTTTCATTGCGGCCATTCTAACCGGATGAAACTATTAGAAGTCCATATCATTGTGGTTATTCTTGTACTCTGTTTTGGCAGTTGCATAAACGAGTAATAAATTATAGAGGCTGTGAATCTTGCTCAATCTTTATTTTATAAAGATTGATGCACACTTATTTGTGTATTGCTTGTTGTGGCATGTGCACGCGCATAAAACACCCTATGCATGACTATGGCTCTGGGATTTAATGCAGCAATGCTCCGATACCAAAGTTTATACTACCGAAGAAACTACATAAGCACGTTAGAATGTATATATCATTTGCCATGTATTACTTACATAAGTATGCGTTATGCAAGCATGTAACTAGGTTCTGTTGGAGTAGGGTATAATACTATGGTTTTTCTTATACCTCATTTTCTAGGTACCTACCGATTTTTGCCATGACTGCATTCTGTAACGATCCAGGACAACACATTTTGCTTCCACCGTATTTTACTTTGTACACTATTTTTTTAATTTGTGGAAGTACCTTAGTTCTACCTATAAAGTGTCAAATCCGTAATCACGTAACTGTAGCGTAATAAGTGTACCTAATCGTTGAATTCATATATTGCTATGTATTGGGAATGAGATCACTTGTGACATTGAACTTTCCATGCATTGTCCGCTATTTTATGCTATCAGTTGTTCAGGGACATCGGTAATAAGGTTCTAATCCAAAGAGCTGCCCTCTAACGAGTAATCTTAATTTATCGTCTCTCCTCCGTCATTTGGAGGGACTGCACCCATTTATCGACATATTTTAATTGATATTCTCTCCGTCAGTCGGAGGGACTATCCTCTAACGACGGGCCGGATCGCCGAATACGTGCTAGCCTTCGTCAGCCTCTGCTTCGACGTCCGCAGCTTCCACGGCCGCGACATGACAGGTCAGTGCGCAGGTCAGGTCAGCGACATAACAGGTCACTACGCAGGTCAGGTCAGCGACATAACAGGTCAGTGAGCAGTTCAGGTCAGTGACATGACAGGTCAGTACGCAGGTTAGATCCGCGACATGACAGGTCACTGCGCAGGTCAGGTCCGCGACTGGTCATGTCGTGCAGGTCTGGCCCACGGCCGCGGCATGATATGTCATCGGCCATGAGTTCTCAGCACAATGTCCATCAGTTCATTGCGCTGAAGCTGTGACCGGAACAGACCGATGAGTGGGTGTCAGCCCGCGGCGTGATGGGTCCAGCCGTTCAGCCGCTCTCTGCAATACGTATCTAACAGCATAAGTGGGGAATTCTTCTATTATCTGGGCAAAAGATATTTGTCCATGAAACGCAATCGGGTATTCAAGTCTGTTTCTAATTAAATTCATTGGATTGGTCATGTGAGCCTTTGTGTCTCCCGACGTAGACCATTAGAGCTTCATATCAGTTGGGGCAGGCTACTTGGGCTCGCGTCCCAGGTGAGGCGCTCATTTTCAGCCTTTTCTCCGCTCTGACTGCAGGATAATACAGTCGTCTTTTCTGCAGAGACAGCTAATATTAGAGCTGCCGTCTTCCGCGCGGCGGTCCATTAGAGCTGCCGTCTCTGCGGCAGTCCATTCCCCGAGGCAGAATTTACATGCCTGCTGATTGCGTCCCGCCAGACATGGGCGTTTGTCATGGTTAATGGTGTCATTTCGTTAGCGAGATTCCAGGCCTCCCGGCGATTTGTTCTCGTCAAGGTGAAGAATGGCAGAGGCATGCGGAGTTTGGCGACCCAATTTTTCAGCCGTGCTGCCCTTTGGTGAAATTCGCAAATTTGCGGAAACAATAGATTGCATCGTGTTAATGGTATGCAGTGCGGCCGAAAACTTCGGCATCCGGTATCAAATTACGGAACTTCATGTTCGGAAATGTTGTAATTCGTCATGTCACAAAAAGTTACAATACTATTTAGTTATAATGCTGCCAGTGTGTAACTTATTTCCCTTAGCAACGAAGCCCAACCAAACTGCATCCAGAATCAATTCAGACTAATTAAAACCTCTGATTATCTATGCTGAATTGCTGGGCCACCGACTCGATTGCCCTCGGTATCACGCCGGTCAGCTGATCGTTCCTGCCCCTGTCGTGGCCGGTGCGTGGCCCCGTCTGGTATATCGTCCCGCCGATCACCGTCGTCCGCTGTATCTCCGGCTGCTGTGTCTGACCACACGGCGCTCCGCCCTCTCCGTGTGGGCCGGCCGCCTAATCGACCCGTTCGCTGCTCGGTCAGGGGATCAGGGGTCGTCTCCGGTCCGCAGCGCGTGTCAGTGGCTAAATACTGGCCCGAGATGGGCGCGCTAGTCAGCCGGTGATTCGATCTTCACCATCGCTGCGTATGTATTTATGCCACTTCGCTAATATGATAAATGGACCTGGCCTACTCTTCTCCCTATTGTTGAGCTCCATATCAACAGCTGGCCATTTATTGAAAAATGGAAGCCTTGTAAAACCTTAAAAAGAAATATTGAAAGGTATATTAATACACCAGCAACTTAACCCTTAAACCTTAATGGTTGGAAAGAGCGATCCGTTGGGCGGTCGCTCATTAAAACGACGCTAAGCTAATAGCATTGAACCAACTGTTCCGCATCTCCTGCAGAATATCATGCTTTTGTTGCATCTGCCAAACAATGTATTTCTTTGCTTTTCATTATATTTACGTCCATCGTTCCGTCTATCCCGGCCGTCCACACTCACAGTGTCCACACTCCACACTACACACGGTCCACACTCACAGTGTGGACCGTGTGTAGTTGCACGGTCGCCGTCGTGCAACTATAACACGGCCGGCGAACAACCATAGCACGGCCGGTCGTATCTTATGTACAGCCCTCTGCAAACTGCGTGGTAGGTATTCTTTTTTCGACAAAACCGCGAATAACGCGAATACTATGCTAACGGTCACTCGGAAATCGTAACAGCAATACGCGTGAGACTCCGCACCTTAGATTGGGCTTATTTTGGTATACATTTTCCATCTAGTTTGGCAGCAACACACTCAAGTTTATATTTGCCCCCAAAACAAACTTTTGCATTTTGTTGCTACACTAGGCGTATACTTTGTTCAGTGATAGAACCAATCGAATTATCGAAGGAGTGGAGCATGGCGCATCTATATGCAATGAGATCCGACCGACTGATAACATAGCCTTTGAGTTATTATCAGTTTTGTCGAACAAAGAATACCTACCACGCAGTTTGCAGAGGGCTGTACATACATACGACCGGCCGTCGGCGTCTGTCCCGCATCATATTGGTGCCGTCGGCGGGCGGCCAGCACTTTGTCATCAGCTCTGCGTCGTCGCCTTCTGACGGCGCGTGATTGCCCCGAGCTGCAGCTGCGGCGCCCTGGTCGCCGACATATTGAGGGTAGCGGCCGACACGCCCGGCTGGCGTTCAACTGGGGGTTGAGGCAGCGGCACCTCCGCTCGGCGCGGCGACACAGCCCGATCGACCGACCGAAATGAAGCCGCCGAAAACAGGGCCGCGCGATGAATGGGTGAGCTGCCGACTGATGAACGGCTGCTGTCTCCGGGACCGGCGGCGGTCGCCGCTCTGCGGCCAGACCACTCAGCAGGACACGACTGCGGCCTTACGCAGGGGACGCTGCCGAGGCGCGTCGATTCAGGCGGAATGGCTCGGCCTGTACTGGTCACATGAACTCAACTCACTGAGGCAGCGTTAAGGTTAAGCTGCTGAGGCGCCGCGGTCGTGATAGAGCTCCGTGACCGTTAAATGTCTCCGCGGCGGCGGCTGAACAGCACCGGCTCCATTAGGGCTTCTCGGGCCGTGTTCGGCGACACCCCGATCGACCCGGGCCAGCTAAAGGCTTCAGATTTTGTCCCGATGGCTTCACCGCATCAGTTAAACGGATTTTATCCAGTAACACAAAACGTTGAATGTATTTTGCAGTCGGTGAAGCCAACTAAGCCGGTACAAGTCATGTAGCCAGTGCTGTATTTTTTCCTGTATTTCGCTGTTTTTTCTCGTTGTTTGATCGCAGCAAAGCTGTGATTCGTTAGACCAAGGTGAATCTGTTTTAATGTATCTTTCATATCGGCAGGACTACATTGCTATTCTTTTAATTAAATCGAAGGCATTCAAATAAGATTTACAGTGCTCAAATAAATACGATGGTTGTGCAGAACTGCATTTGGACAGGACCGCATTCTTTGTTGCTATGTCGTTTTTGAACACCTAACGGCTGAGCGCTGGGTCTTTCATCACCCGTGTTTGTCGCGCGTTTGATGCTGGTGAGAGTGCTGGGGAATGGCTGAATGCAGCATCGATCATCCGCCGCCTCTGCGGTGCTGCATGTGGGTGTGTGCCGGCATTGATCTTGATAAGCACGCGGCTTACAGTCCAGGCTCCGTCCGGCGATATCGTGATTATTCGTAGATGATTATTATGGCTTTGCCTCGTCGATAACCTGCACAGAAAATATAATTCGCTTTGCAAGCAATTACTTCATAAAAAATCATTGAGTTCAACATGCATATATGCCTCGTAGGCTTTCCTTTTGCCTTATTTTCTAAACCCCATAGACGACCATGTAGCCCAGATATTGTACGTCTTTCTAGAATAGATTGTCATTCGGAACAGAAACCAGTCAGGCTGAATCAGCAATCAACCACACACATCATTCGGAATTGCCGCGAGTTGCTGCGGCCGCCAGCGATAAAGAGCGACTGTCTCGTAGCGCCGGCGTTCGGCCGACTGCTCTGTGTTGTATGAGCGGCGTATTTCGTGGCTAACGAAGCCGGGAAGCGTCTGGTCGCCGGCCGGGCCGCTGCAGTCCCGAGGACGGGGCCGTGGCGGACCGATACGGGGCAGCTGATGACGAGTTACGAGCGCCACACGTCTCAGATCGGTCGGACAGAGGCAGACGGCCCGGCCCGATCGGAGGCGGGATGTGCGGAGACCGCGCTCCGGGTGGCCGGCTTTTGGTAACCGGATGTCCCAGTGACGTATGGCAGGTCGCACCAGACCAACTGCAGGAGTCATTGTAAAGATATTTCATATAATAATAAAGACATTTGGGTGGTCAATTTGCATACATTTAAACATTTTCCTTTACTATTCTGATGCATCTGTTGTGGGGAATTACTATATGAAACTTTGGCTGCCTTCTTGTAATCACATTTCGATTTATATGCAAGTCTTACATAACCTCGTTTGACGTTAGTAGCCATTTACCCAGCGTGGAGCGTCGCGAAAGTTGCCAGAGATAGCCCTGATTTATTCTCAAGAGGCGTTAAATGGCCCATAGTCCCTAACGTTAATCAACACGGCACACCGTGAGATAGCCTTTATCCGACCACTGGAGGGCGCTACAGTGGATTATGCGGTTACCAACCGGAGTCAGAAACGCCGACGAGCAGTCGGCTGCCGCCCTTAAAAACTAACCCACTCGAAACAAAATATCTCTTGTCTCTCATGTAGATTTCTAACCTCACCGGCTGAAGTGACCCGTGGACCGTGGACCGTCTGTTCAGCCCGCCTCCCGTGCCCCGCTGGCCGGACTCCCGGTCCCTCCGTTCCTCCCCGCCGCACCCCAGTGGCGCTGACCAGTACTCTGGTGCTCCGACAGCGATTCTCCAGCACCACCCGGGCGTCATGGACTATGAGTCGGCGTTCGTGGTGCTGGCCACGTGTGCGGCCGGCGCCCCGGTCCGGAGGCGCAGCTACAGCAAGCTGATGACGGTGGCGCACGACCCCAACGACCTGCACGGCACAGGTCAGTCCGCCCGGCACAGGTCAGTCCGCAGCCACCACAGCACTGGTCAGTCAGCAGCCAGCACAGCACTGGTCAGTCAGCAGCCAGCACAGGTTAGAGTCAGAGAACCACAGGTCAGAGTCTGCCCGGAGCTCACGGCCGATAGACGTAACTGGGCGGCTTGAACGCCACCGATTGGTGACCTTTACGGTAATAAGGGTTAGAAGAGCTGTTAAAGGTCGGTGGGCCTGCCTAGAGGAACAGTAACGCGTGTTTCGCCAAAGAGAGAGGGCAAACGTTCTATAAAACGTTTCCGCTGGACCAAAGGGGTCCTAAATGTAAATATTCATAATCTTCTGCTTCACGAGCTCCTTTTCTCAAATTCTTTATCCATGAAGAAGATTTAGTGAACTCAGCTCTGAACCGTTGAAGCAGACGCTGAATCCGGCAGTAAAACAGCCCTGAAGGAATGCTCGGCTATGACCGACCAAACGGTCTTGTTGGACTTGAAACGTCATTCTTTCATAATCCTTGAACTCCTCAGCGAAGTCATATTTCAATCCGCTTAGTGCTGAATATGGATGCTATGGTAATACAGCAGATGATTATATTGGATATGAAAATCAGTGTTCACCGTCCAGTTAAATCAGAATCTAACGCGTGGTAGTGTCATGTGCCATTCGCATTAAATGGCGGCGTTAATCGTGCTTTACGGGCAGGGTGTGGTCTCGTTTTGAACGGGCGTTTCCAGGCTCTGTTTGGATTTGCAATTGCCACTTGCCGTGATGGGGTCACCGACCGGGCCATCAACATTTATAGGGCAGCGTGCCGAATCCAATTCCGTTGAGAATGGTGGTCGCATCTGGACCCATGCGGGCCTCATGAATACCGCTGTGGTATTGTAAAATTTCTCAGACTCTACCTGCCTGGTATATGAAAAGCACATCTGAAAAAGTTTCTGCTTTCATTACATTACGTTGTGTCTGCGGGAGAGGCGGAATGTGACGGAGGGCACATGTCGTTTTCACAAGTTTGAGAATGTCATGTCATTACCTGCCGATCATAACTCTTCTGACATGTATTTCAGTTATGGTGTACGTCAAAGTCTAGTCTCCCGCTGCAGACGCTCTGGCCCTGTCCTTGCTTGCGCTGCGCTGTGTGTCTGTCTGTCCGTCTGTCTGTGTGTCTGTCTGTGTGTCGGTCTGTCTGTCTGTCTGTCTGTCTGTCTGTCTGTCTGTCTGTCTGTCTGTCTGTCTGACACTGTCCTGTCTGCCCTGTCCATTCCAGACACTCTGGCCCTGTCGTGCTGGCCCTGCGTGTCGTGTCTTTCTGTTCCTGTCTGTTTGTCTGACACTATGTATTGTTTCAGACACTCTGGCCCTGTCCGTGCTGGCGCTGCCCTGCGTGTCTTTCTGTTTCTGTCTGTTTGACACTATGTATTGTTCCAGACATTCTCGCCCTGTCCGTGCTGGCGCTGCCCTGCGTGTCTTTCTGTTTCTGTCTGTTTGTCTGACGCTATGTATTGTTCCAGACACCCTCGCCCTGTCCGTCCTGGCACTGCGCTGTGTGGCCGAGACCACTAGTCGCAGTGTGGACCGCCACCTTAGCGGCCCGATTGCCGCCCTGGTCACCCGACAGGAGGCGGACGGCGGCTTCGGCAACTTCCACTCCACCCTGCTAGCCGTGCAGGTGGGACATGGGACGCTCAGTGGGACAGGGGACACACGTGGGACAGGGGACGCTCAGTGGGACAGAGGGCACACGTGGGATAGGGGACGCTCAGCGGGACAGGAGACGCTCAGTGGGACAGGGGACGCTCAGTGGGACAGGAGACGCTGAGTGGGACAGGGGAAGCTCAGTGGGACAGGATCTGCACGTCCAGTTGGAAAGGGTCCACAATCAAGCGTTTTACTTAGCTTCAGTTTTCGACACAAGCTATACTCGTAGTATTTTCATTTCGACGGTGAAAAACCGTGGTCAGTATGCAGCTTGGCGTGCCAAGCTTGTCAGCTAAGTGGTATCGATCACGTTGGCTATCCTCCTAGCTGTTATGGAGCTAGCTTCCTGGCTTTGATAATGATACCCTTGTGTCTGAATCGGGGTTGATAGCGACTTAGGTGTGAGGGCAACCTAAAAGTTGTATGTTAAAGTGGCCATTTGACTGGCAAAACGTAGTAACTTATCATTCAGACGTGCATGTACTTTCGTGATGAACTCAAAGGTATAATCAGAGGATGTTAACACTGAGGGACTCAGTTGTCAAACATTTCATGACTTCACTGTCTTGGTTTCGGTTATATCCGAGAAACTAAACCAGCTTCATTTCCGTTCCTTCGCTTATCATCAATCTATGCATATGTATTTGTTGTCCATGCAAGCCGATCTCCCATTGCGAAATGCCCGGCTCGCGGTCGATGAGCGCATTGCATGGCACTCCACACGCGACACCACCAGTGTTTGGAGTGAGCGTACCACAGAGTGACGCAAGAGTTGACCGTCTTACTGCGCCTGTCCGTTGGGAAACCGACCACCGCCCGTCCCAGCCATAAACACACACGGGCCAGTCGGTCCGCGGAGACTCACTTCCTTGTGGCGTGAGCTGCGACCACATTTCTCCGACCTGCGCCGCTGACTGGTGCCAGAACTGCTCCATTTCGTCACTTGCCGTTTCACGCGACAAAGGCAAGGAAGTGTCAAAGGTCATAGTGACCTGGGCCGGCATTTATGCAAAATATGTATCACAATGAATTTGGGAAAGAAATCTTTGTAGGTGGGAATGACAATTGAAACGTCTTCCCAGCTGATCTCCGCGCCCGAGTCTCGCTCTGACCGCCTCCCCCTGCCGGCAGGCGCTGCGGTTGGAGCGGGAGCAGGGCTGGAACGAGTCGGCGGCCGTGGCCTATCTGCTCTCTCACCAGCAGGAGGACGGCTCGTTCGGTAACCTGTTCGACACGACTCAGGTGCTGCCCGTGCTGCTGGGCCGCACACTGCTGAATGTCACCACCACCGACTGCCACCGGGACGGCGGTGAGAGGGGTGCGCTGGGGGACAGAGTCGAGCGCGCGGCGCCGGCGTCGGCTGTAGCTGGGAGGGGGAGTTCCTGCAGCTGATTAAGACGGGCCTCGGCTGAGTCAGGTGTATTTCTGAGTGCCTATGCGTTAGCAGTATATCATCTGAATGAATGGAGGAGCAGGCTGACGCTATTAGGGCTACGATCTCGCATCAAGTGCCACCTGGCGACCTGACGAAAACGGGCTTGTCTCCTGTCGGCAGGGGGCGCTGAGGTGACGGAGGATCCACCGACGGTGCCGCCACCTACCACTACAGCAGCGCCACCTACGCTGATCAACTTCACCCTGTGGCTGTGGGTGGGCCCCGACGTGAACAAGACGTTCAGTCAGGCGTTGACCATCCCGCAGAATACCAGCCTCTTCGACGCCATGAAACTGGCCGCCGAGCGTGACAGCAACTTCGAGTGAGTGCAGTCAGTGGGGTCAGAGGGCATCAGTTCAGCTCCCGCCGAACTAGGTCAGGTCGAGGTGTCAAAATAAAATTTGGCCGACCTAACGAAAGACAAGTTCTGCATGAATTTCATCACCTTTCGCTACGTAATTTGAAGCGTCTGGTGCGGATCTTTTCGACTTGTTATGCTCAGCTAGAAATGCAGATGCCTAAATATTTTGGATCATTATTTCACCATGATGTTGAGTGTTGACAGTCCTACGCCAAGCCCCATCTAACGACCATCGACAGCGCGGTAAACGTATTTCGACTGGATATCAAATGACCGCTGTTGTTGTTCGAACTCTTTCCTAACATCCGAAAACAAGTGATCGCGGTATTTTACAAGCGGCTGAGTGGCAGCTAATGTGTGCTCTCTCGGCCGCATACTCTCACCCACACCTGTTACTGTTTATCTGCGCTGACTAGCGCCTCAACTGGTAACCTCTGAGGAATGGCAGAGATGCAGGATGTTTTGATACTTAGCGTCTTGCTGGACTTCACCAGGTGCTGCTGAATACGATATGTTTGTAGATACCTACATCCCGGTGCAGTGCCGTTCCCATGCTGAGGCTTGTTGATTGGTGGTGGTTCATTTCAACACCCAACGGGCAGAAATTTGAGTTTATGTGTTTAAAGAGCTTACCCCCTTTACACACATATTTGATATGTTATCATCTCTTGCTCATAAGACCATAGAACATAAGAAGCAAAGGCATAGCGCAATTTCACTACCCTAAAAGGATATCTTTCTCGCACTAATCTCTCCTGCCGCTTCCCCTCATATTCAGGTTTTCTGCCACGGTCTGGCCCAACGGGCACTACATCCACACGATCGGCGGCGTCCACGAACAGAAGGTGGGCTACATGTTCTGGCTGCTCTACCGACTGAAGGCGTCTCCGAACGTCGAGAGCAAGCCGGTCAACACACAGCTCTCCGCCACCGGTGAGGGACGGAATCATAACGCACTCGAGTGCTGCAGGGAGTGTTGGAGGTAGCTACCAACACTTGGGTGACTATAATAGAATAGGTTTTTGACTAGTCTGTGTGTACATTTATTTAATGGAAGTAAATGACAAAAGTCAAATCGTTTTACAAACGGATTGCACTGATAATTTACTGGCTCATGTATCTCCGGTTGTGCTTACCTGTGACTTCTGAAATGTCGTGATATTCAAACATTGCGACAGAAAGCGCTGCATAATTTGCCGACCTAGCTGGTTAACTTTTAACGTTTCCGTCCGCCTATAAGTCACATTGTAATGTGTTGTGCGACATTTCCCGTAACACGCTCGGCACCTTCTACCATAGCATTGGTAGGATGCGTATAACGCTGAGCCGCCGTTCACCGTGTCCTGGTTTGCAGGCGTGGATGACGTGTTCCCCGAGGAGGGCGAACACATCCTGTTCTGGTACAAGAAAATATAACCAGCCAATCTTCCATGGACGCAGCGATAGCCGTGCTAAACGTCGAGCTTCTGTCGACGACTGTGACGAGCGAGTGTGGTTGACGGTCAGCGGTCAGCGCCGGCGGCGGTCGGCCCGCAGGGGAGCCCCGGGTCTGGGGACCGGGGACGTGGGGGCGTGGTACGGACCTGACGCCTGTGTACAGAGTGTGGCAGTGAGTCAGTGAGGCGCCGCCACTGCGATCAGTGTGATGCAGTTGTGATGGGATGTGTGCCGAGCGGTGTGGCCGTCTTCTCCGTGTCAGTCGTGACGAGAGGGCGTGGGATGCGATGGGAGCGCAATACGACGATTTTGCGATACTGGAGGGCGATAAAATTGGCGCGGGCGCTACGGAGGCATAATAGTGGATTGTTTTGTAGTTGTGATGTTTCGATTGTGAAGCGAGCTTAGCTTGACGTTTGGTGAAATTATACGTCCGACTACTATTCAAGTTACTGGAAAATGGTCGCAAAAGGCGAACTTTAAACATTCCTTATTATGTATCTAGCGTGCCGCTTACGTAATATCTTCGTAACTGTTGTTATGATAACGATGGTTGCACTGGATGTCATCTGATAAACATTGTTCATACATAATGTTTTTTATAATCGTCTGAAGAAGAAGCTTACCATGCAACGATTTTCCATTTTTGAATGGCTATTAAAAGATAATTATTAGATAACGCCAGCGCATTACAGTGAGCACGATTATTATCAGAAAGATAGAACAAAAAACGTACGGAAAGTATACAGTAGCCGTTTTTACGACATCTATCTGGTACACATTTGGTGCACATCGGTGCATGTTTGGTCGAGTTAGGTTCATTTTGCTTGTTAAAAGTTAGCAGTCTGGATTGCACAGTTGCTTATATGCCTGATTTTTCAAATTATCAGTCATTATTTTCGATTAAAACACTGAAGTAAATTCATGATATGAGATAATTGTTCGCCGAACAACCCGTCGTGAGAACGGCTAGCGTAAACGGAACGTTGCCAATCTGGCAGATTGTCGCACTGCTACCAGTTCAATTGTTCCAATTTCCAATTTGACACCTATAAGATCTACATATTATGTATATGCTTATATATATGCTCTATATTGTTAACATCACAGGACAAAGACTTTAACTAATGATAATGCAGTTGCACATTTCGACCTGCACGCGAGAGCGTCCGTCGCTGACCGGCGCTCCACCAGCTCTCCCCCGGCCGAGCCACGGCCAGTCGGCGTCACCTTGCCCACGTGACCGCCGCGGGGCAGGTCGGCCGCCGGCCTCCCCACGCGGCCGGCTCGACGCCGGTCGCCGGCTGCCGGCCGCGTCGGCCCAGCGTCAGTTCATACATACTGCACTACAATATCTTTTATACATAAGTCTCTAAATGTAAATATCTACCGAGACCTCAGTTCATGACCAGGAATCACTAATGTGTTTGAAATCGCGGTTGCGTTAAACCAAGTGTTCTTTGTAAAACCTTTTTTCGTTTCTTAGGATCACTTACATGTGAAGGTTTGTTGCGGCCAATCGGCTCCAGAGCTGGATCCAGCCGTGGCAGCCAATCAGTCCCCTCCCTCGTCGTCCGTGAGTCGACCGCGGCCGAGTTGGCTCGCCGAACCATTAGAGGCCGCCGCAGCGGGCGTGGTACGGCCGGCGGCGCCGTCAGGCGAGCGGCAGATAATCCGGCCTTTTGCCGGTCCCGCTCGGCGGCGGCGGCGCTCGGCGGCTCCATTAGGGCGGCTCGCCGGCACGCCAGGTCACCGAGTCACCGAGAGAGGTGCGTGACACGACTCACCGAGCCGAGCGGCTGTCAGCGAGTCCCGGCTCAGACCCCACTGAGCCGCCAGTGCGGCAGAGGACACGTGCCCCACCGGCGCTGCCGCGCTCAGCCGGACTTAGAGCGGAGCGCACAGGCAGTGCGTAATTAAGTTGTCGGCGACGTGAACCGATCAGAGCAAGATCCCGGACCTGCGAGTCATTTACCTGTCGGATAAGAGATATACGTCCCTTAGCAAATGCGCAATAGCCCTCCAAGAAACCTCGCCGGGAGAGCGAGCTTGGCCTGGTGACTGACTCGCTAGAAAGATGGGTCGCGGGTGCTACAGGATGTTAGGGGCGGTGGCTTATTGCGTGCCCACTGACCAATTATCAGCACCCTGCTCATGTAGCCCGGTGCGAAGCCTTCAATCACGTTCCACGAGTGGCACCTCTCGCGCCATCGATCCGTTTCCGCTGGCCGTGGGAACTGCGTCCGTATTCGTTTCCCAGTGTTGCGTGAGGCGGAGGCTGACATGCCCTCTGCCGCCGGCGGCGCGGGACACGTGCGCGCGCGCAGTGCTTACCGCATAGTTAGCCGAGCACGCGGAAAAATCGCAGCCCATCGCGGCGTCCGGGGTCACGCAACAGGAAGGGGTGGCTCTTGGCCTCCACTTTGGCAGTGTATGAGCGTGAGAACACGCGGGGTGTTTATTTGAAATGCTGACATGTTGTTCTAACATGCATGGAATATTGTCCACCTTACATAGCTTAGTGAAACTTCGGTCGCTTACAACCGATCCGCGACACATTGCCGTTCAGTAAATACAAATAAACGCATCTGTTGGTGGCTTTCATGACGGACCTAAGGTCGACATTTACTATACAAACTAACAGGGCTATCTTCATTGAAAAAAGCATACATATACACGGGCTGTTAAGTGTTAGATAGCATTCATTATAAATATTATAGATCATAGTTCCATACATCATACATGAAGCAAATATATATATAAGAAAAGGTTTAGGTGTAGCCTGTTGCTCATAGCATATTGTAAAGTTAAGATGGAATTGATAATTATATTTCGACCACGGGTCCTCATCACATACATGTAGCAAGGCTGTAGAAAGAGTCTAATGCCTGAAACAGACTCTTTCCGCAGTCAGGAAATCGCATGCGAGAGCCTATTCAAATACATGGAAGCACGCTCGCATCAATCGCACGCACCTCCCGCAAGCGATTGATGCGAGAAGAATTATAATGTATTTGAATAGGCTCTCGCATGCGATTTCCTGAACGCAAAAAGAGTCTGTTTCAGCCTTTAATAAACAACGGCGCACATCCGGACTATGTATAAAGAAAACTAAAGAAAAACATTTCACTCCAATTTCAAACCTTTGCTGCCGTAATTTAACCACATCTGCACCAAATAGGTGGTTACCACTAACCAGATAAGATAACCCGTCGGGAAACTGTCCTTAGTCCGTCGCCTCAGCGCCGACGCCTAGGTAGTAGGTAGGTCCTATGTGCAAGTGTGGAGCTTTGCGGCACAGCATATTCAGTCACTGGACACTATAGAGAAGACAGAAATGATTCTCATTTCTCACAGGCGCTACTACCGAACCATGTGGTGCAGCAAAGTGCAAACTTTCAGCCCAGGAGTCAGAATAGGCTGATATCTAGCGGTTAAAAATGATGCTACGGAGCCTTGCGGCACAGCATGTTCAGGCGCTGGATACTAGAGTCATCTATTGGTCACAGGCGCTACTACAGAGCCGTGCGGCACAGCAGGATTTCAGGCGTCAGACTAGCCTGACATCTAGCGGCTGCAGGTGCTACTAGAGTCTTGCGGTACAGTATGATTTCAGGCGTCAGACTAGCTTGACATCTAGCGGTTACAGGTGCTACTACAGAGCCTTGCGGCACAGTTTATCCTTCAGGCGTCGGACTAAGCTGATATCTAGCGGCTAAATGTGCTACTATTGAGCCTTGCGGGCTGCGACACAGTACGCCCTCAGGCGTCAGACGAATTAGGCTGACTGAGCGGCTGCAAGTGTAACTACTGAGCCTTGCGGCACAGCATGGTTTCTGATCAGGCGCTGCACTGACGGACGTCTAGCGGCCACGGGTGCTACTCTACAGATCATAGCGGCACAGCATGAATGGGTACCTACTGGGCAGACATCAACACGAAAATGTCCATCGGCGCAGGCCGCAGATCCTCAAACCATCCACACACAACTGATCGGCTTATGGTATACAGTGTGAAAAGATCAAAGATAAGAATCAGACGCATTAATTTTGCAATTCCGTCAGATACACCGAGCTCATTCCAGTACTCGGAGCAAATCGTAATTCTGATGTCGCTCTATGCAAAACTCGTCCCGAGACGCAAATCCACGCTGCAAAATCTAGGCAAAGCCACGTTGACCCGTCACCCGACTTTGCCCACTCCGGCATTGTGATCTGATTTTGAATGACAGTTACGTATGTATATACCTAAACGTAGCGTAGAAAGGTGCTAGCCGTCTCTTTCTATGTAATGGCTAAATCGTGGCCGGTCCTTCGAGTTAGGAGTGGTTACGCAAGGTTCTGGCTCAGGCAAATTTGAGTCCGTATTATTTCTGTACTGCATTCGCACCAATCAACAGCCGGTATCCACTCATAGAACTGCTGGCGGAGTGTCTCTCCTTGTCTTCCCTCTCCTCACCAGCCTCCTCTCCCGGAGTCGCCTGCGCCCCTCCCCCCCGCTATCACCACTCTGTCCGCGGTGAGGGGGAGGGGACGGGGATGGGCGGGGGTCAGCGCGACTGGTCAGCGCGTTAGCCCGGCCGACATCGCTCCAAGTAATGGGTCATCAGTGTGTTGACGCACGGCGCCGAGTGCTGGGTAATGGTTTTGCCAACACCCGCCGTATACGTCGGCCGCGGCAGATGACTCTGCAAATGTTTGAGCAGAAGTTAGTCGGCACACGGCCCGGAGCGATCAGGAACAGGATATCCCGCGGCCCTGTCCGGCGGCTCGGTCTCTCGTCTGCGGAGGGCAGCAACGGATAAGGGGCCGGTCCGCAGAAACTGGATGGAGACGCGCCATCGAGGTAAATGGCTAAATTTGTGCGCATAAAGTAACCTGTACGAGTATTTTGAGTGTTTCATCAATGCGTGTAAATATATGCAAGTAAAACCTATGATATGATTTCAAGACTTCAGGCTCACGAATACGAACTGCAAGTAGCCATTCAAGTATTCGTGTTCAAGAGTTGTAACATCCTAGAATGATGTTTTGATCAGCCCTTCTTGCACCAGGAGGAAATGTTCTTTTTACTGATTCGTTTTTCAGTACATACGAGTATAAGGCCACTACTGTCAAATCCTTCCACATCTCCATCAGCCTTAGATTTCTAAATCGCACTCTATAGCAGTATCTAAATGGCGGCTGGGTTGAGACGGCTAATTCGCTGTAGAAGCCGCCGATTTGCCAGTGGTCTCATCCCGCGCTGTGGAAGGTGGGGAGGCGACCGGGCCGGCGCCGGCTCCGAACGGACTTCGGACCGGCTCCGGACGGGCTCCGGGCCGGCGCCGGCTCCAGACCAGCTCCGGGCCGGCTCCGGGCCCGCTCCGGTCCGGCTCCGGGAGGAATTCCCGCCGCGTCGCCGGCCGGTGGTTATTCGGCTCCGATTGGGCGCCACTGGACCGGAAGGCGGACGCCAATCCTCCTCTGATTGCTCTTATCTCAACAGGCTTTCATAAGAGCTAATAACGCGGAAAATGGTGGCCAAAAAGGCGGCGTGCTGTGGCCGCAAAATCAGCCAACTATGTGTGCAGCCTCGTCAGCAGAGCGCCGGA